CTAACGAGGCAAGAGGCTCAGCCATGCGGGAAGAGTGCAGAGGCGAAGAGTAGGACGAGTTTTGCGCTCTTTAAAACGCATGCAGAGTTTGCTGGCAAAATGCCAAAGCAAGGGATCTGGCCTCGCAGACCATCAAAAACGACTTGAAATTCCAAAAAAAGGATGCTAACGATGCTTTCAAAACTTACATTCCACTAAAAGCAGCAGAAGATCCAACTGCTCTAACTGCGGGCAAGCGCACCATGCTCCTATGCCTTTCCTCCAGGAGATTTAGAACCAGCGTAGTTCACCCGCCGCACGCCTCACGGTGGATAAAAAATAAAACTTGGAACGCTTTCAACAATAGATTACTGGGAAGAGGCGTATAACATATAAATGTGAATTCAACTCATATGATATACGTCAATACTCAGGCGCTAGTCAACCATTCTCCAATTAAAACGTTGAAGAGGAAAACTGTACTTTAGCTAGCTACAGAAAAATTAAACAGCCTGTTCTTAGAACCGCCGAAGGTAATTTCGAACAAATCACATGTCTCCGAAAGAGCTCTTTTCTTCTTTGGCACCAAAGCAAAAGACAATCATTGATGGGGTTTAGCACCTGCCCACTACGTATAACTCCCGAAACTTGTACCATGTCGATTGGTGGACGCGCTGAAAAGTTCGAGAGCCATATAACAGCTCTCGGAATGAATATGATTATGATAGATATGACAAGGCAAACAGAGAGGCCGACCGCGAATTTTTATGAAATAGTGAAAGATATATAGGAATTTCGAAGATTAGAGAAACGCCAGATCTCTCATAATTTAGTATATCTTGACCGTTGCTATGACCTCATTGATGAAACACCATCATTGCATACCCCGTCAGGTTCGCATCTAGCCACAATCGCATTCGTGGTCAGATATCACGCTATCAACACCACCGCTCGCATTCGATGAGTGCCGTATGTTAATTCTCAGATAACGATAACTTTCAAAAACTATTCGAGCTTGAGAACATGGGCATCATCTTGGAAAATAACGCAGACGAGGACACTTTAGGGTTTAAAAGAATTCTTTAAACCATTATGTTTAATGGAAACCGCATCGCAGCATCATTCCCGCTTAAGGAAACTACTGCTGAGTTCAGCGATCAAGTATGGGTAGCAAGAGATTGACGGCTCTCCATAGAAACTTAGCTGCTAGTGGTGCTCTGGTGGAGTGGTGTCCTAAATGCTTCTCGGTTCAAGTTAGTTTCCCACAGAAGAGACGACAGAAGAGACGTTACAAAACGCGACATAGGCCTATATGAATTCCTTATATGATCCAATCGGTATAGTCGGTAATGAAGTTGATGCGCGAAGCATTGAACAATGCAATTGACTCGTCCAACGTAGCCGCGAGCTACTTGACAGAAAAATTCATATACAACGTGTTCAAATAGGTGGGGTAAATGAAGAAACCACGTTACCTACTCACACAAGTATCGTAACTGCTATCCTATGCTCATGGCTGTTTGCAGATGCCAAGGAGACATCAGTGATCACTTGTGCTCATATTCAAACCATGGAACCTGAAACATTGAACCAGCTTGTAAGTAGCAAAACATAACTTTCCCCAAAAATTCCACATCAAACTACGTCTGGAGCTTCTTGCATTACTGTTAGCTCCAGGATTAGACCCACGTTTGTACTACTAGTGAGATAGCATTATTTTGTAAGAAAACACTACACCGAATAGCAATTCTCGTTGTAAATTAGCACACACCCAGACTAAAAATTCAGTTTTTAGAGAAATTAGTACCGTGCGATCCATGCAATTGCATCAGATTTTATTCAGCTGGTGCGTTCAGTGGAAGTGGTGAGTTTAGGTTTGAGGACCATAATGGCTTAATGACGAAAACATGCAATAACGGTTGAAATTATACGTTGATCCGTTGTTGACCTAACGCATTTCCCCAAGTATGAAATTGCTCTCAAAACAGTCGCCAAGGTTGCGAGGTATGATAATTTGATCGAGCAAGTTGAGAGAAAATTTTGCGCATAAATTTATGTGCTCTGCCTTTGAATCAACCAACCACAGTAGCGAGCAACATTTATCAATATAAATATCTTTTCTCTCAACTACAGCAAAACATTTATCTCAATGAACTTCCAAAGAAGTTCGCGAAGGCGTCTAATTGGAAGCAAATGTGGTATTATCCATCACTTATCACGACTGCAACTTGCAAAAGTTTGATACCATATTTTATCAGACAAGAGGAAAACCAGGCTCATGTTCGTGGATATTCTCCATGGAAGCTTCCATTGTGGTAAAGATCATACGCTGGCACAGCGATTGGAATCGAAACCGTCTGGTGCATCCCGCAACTACTAAGAATTGCACGGTTTGTAAATGCTGGCACAGTTTGCCAGTTGGGGCATCAATTGTATGAGTGCGAATTTTTTTCAGGAATGGAAAAAAACGCACTCATATTATATACGGCCCTTCAAGGATTGTAACAGTTCACGCTATCACGTCTGCTTTGGGGGCGCCTCATTGCCTGCAAGCTGGCGGTTTCTTGAGCCAAATAAAAATTATGATGTTTTTTGACTTATGTTTTTTCTCCAATTGTAGGTACCACAAACAGAAGAGTAAGGTGAGTCCCTGTCACTCATTCATTTGAATCGTTTTTCTCACACAATTAGACAGCAACTCAATAATTGTTTCAGATAACTAGCATATGATCGGTCTCAAGCATGCAATAATGTATGTAATTGCATGAAACTCAGAAATTATAATGAGCGCGTGCAAACATTGTAATTTATGTGAGAATAATAAAAGGAGTGGACTGATTCAAAACTTGGATAAATTTCCAGGGAGATGAGTCAATGTAAAAACATGCGAGAGTAAAATATGTTATGAGAGCAAACAAACACTCTCAATCAAACTTCACTGAGAACTAATCAACAGTGTTAAAACTCAACAGTTTATAAGCTGAATTATCAGGAAAAAACCGCTTCAAATGAATGGGAAATAATTAAACTCATGATTCTCATAACTACGCCACTCTTGGTATTTGAGATGAAGAAAAAACTCGAAAAACAGAAAAAA